GGAACCCTTTCGCCCGCCTGGACAACCGGCCGCGGGTCGCCGACGAGGCTCGCGAGCAGCCGTCTCGGGGTCCGCAGGGAGCTCCGGGCTCGGTGAGTCTCCGCGCCGGGCAGCCGGTGGTCAGGGGTGGGAATGGGCGCAAACAGCCGCCGCAGCCCGGTGTCGGGGGGCGGGGAGGAGAGCTGCCCTCGAAGCCACACGGGAAGTTAGCTCGAAAAGTCCTCAGAACACCCCATCCTGCAAGGCAGCTCGCATGGGCGGGCACAAGAATCTGCCTTCTCACCTTCCTTCAGGTCTTCCTTTTTCTCGGGCACTCTAAATAAATGTGGACATGGGGGGCTGTTGAGGATGAATCGGGTCAGAATTTACAAGCGTTGATCTCTTTTGGTCTAAGATTAATGAATTATCGGTTATTAAATGTGTTGGTCTGTCCCTTCCCCCTGACGTGGATTTGAGTCCCCACTCTGAGAGACTGGGGTGCCAGGTGAGGCCTTATGTATGTAAAGCAAGTTCCCTCATCGCTTAAGTTTTAAAGACAACTTATTTTTTAACCTCAGCTTTTAGATTCTAATGGAGAAAATAATTTGCCATGGGAGGAAGCATCTCATGAAAGAACTGTCACCGAACTGTCCCAGGTACTTTTTAAAGCTGCGTTTGTTGTGTGTGCCGTAGTTGTGTATTTGGAGGTCAATCCTTCCTCCATGTGGGGTACCAGGGTTGAACTAAGGTAGTCAGTCTAGCTCAGAGGCAAGTGCCTCTACCTGCTGGACCATCTTGATGGCCTAGCCCAGGTACTACTTCTTAAATATGATTGAAATGTATGTTCTAAAAAACACACTTCTCAGTGGCATTTTGCTTGGAAACCTAGTTTCAATAACAAATCTGAAGTCTGGGACTATGCCTTGGCTTGTGAAATGCTTGCCTAGCATGCAGGGACCTCTCTCTGGGTTGGATCCCCAGCCTCACATAAATGTGGGACATGATGGGAATGAAAGAAAGACTGTCAAAAGTTTGAGAGCATCCTCAGATACACAGACAGTTGAGGCCTGGAAATCAAAAACAGAAATTGGAGAGGTCGTTTCCATACTAGTGTTGTGTTAATAAGTATGGGTTGTGGTGGCCAAAGCCTGCTTTGTGCGAGGATCAAACCCAGTGAGTGTGTCCTACATGTTGAGCAGGCGGTCTGGGCTCCATTGGTGTCTCCCACGTAGTTATAGTTTGTCCTGATGGGAACAGGCTCAAAGAGCTCACAGGAGCCATTCCCGCTTCACACAGCCTTCCAGAGACAACTTCCCTGGCAGGATTTTATTAGGCTGCTCCCTGAGGGAATCCTTAGGATGTGGAGCATATAGAATTGAACAGCGGGTTTGTCTGTACTTTTCTTTTTTCCTTCTTCTTCTTCTTCTTCTCCTTATTATTATTATTATTATTTCAGGTGATTTTTTTAAACCCTTTTTAGCTCTACCAAGGTGGCTTAACCCTTGGTCCTAGTCACTGTGATTCATACTTGTTAAATCCTGGGACATTTCTCATTCGTGTCTGTAGTACTAGATAGAACTGCAAAACTAAAAAGTGAAATGTGACCCCTCCTCCCCGAGCTTCTTAGTCACTTAGTTTATGCATTGTGTTCTCTCAGGAGCCAGTTCTCTCCTTTCAACTCAGACGCTCAGTCTTAGTGGTAGGCACCATTGCCTGCGGAGTCCTCTCCCTGGCCGGAGACCTCTCTTGGTAGCTTGATTTACCTCCTTTCAGAGTTCACAAGTGGAATATATTTTTAATGTTAGACCATCCCTAAATTTTGACATTTAGTGGTCAAGAGTAGAATAACTAGGATCTTTGTCTTAAAAGAATTTTCTAGAAATTCTAATTTTTGTGTTCATTGTCTTCTAAGAGTCAACATGTACCATTCTCTGAATCAGATCCAACTTCTTCAGAAGGTGCTGAGTTACCTGCGGACTGGAGTATTAAAACCCGACTCCTTTTCACCTCTTCTCAACCCTTTTCCTGGGCAGATCATTTGAAAGCACAGGAAGAAGCCCAAGGTCTTGTCCAGCATTGTAGGGCCACAGAGGTCACTTTACCCCAGAGTGTAGAGGTGAGTCTGCAGTGAAGTAGCCTGGGTGGGAAGGAGTGTGTGTGCAAGTGTGAGTGAGTGCGTGCTCACTCAGGCAGATGTCTGGACAGAGGCCAAAGGCGATAGTCCTGTGTCGTCCTCTCTCTTTGGGGCAGGGTTTCTATGAGTCTGGAACTCACATTTTTTAGCTAGCCTGGTGACCAGCAAGCCCAAGTGCTCCTGTCTCTCCCCTCAGTGCTACGGTTAAAGTGCTCCTGTCTCCCTCCTCCTCAGTGCTACGGTTAAAGTGCTCCTGTCTCCCCTCAGTGCTACGGTTAAAGGCATTCACAGGAAAATCCCAACTTGTCGTATGGGTGTCAGGTTCTTTTAACTTCTGAGCCCACTAGTCTATGTTAGTGTTTCAGGCTGAAGGTAGAACTGCTTTCTGTTCACACACACCTTGTCCCATCATCTGAATGCCTCAGGAAAGGCAGAGACAGGGTGCCCCATCTGTTCAGATAAGCTTTTTCTGCTGCATGGTTCCACAACACTATTTGCTGTCCAGAAAGCAAAGATAGACTGCATTTTAACCTCCATGAAACTAATGCTTCCTCATAAAAAACATTAAAAAGTCTTAGACTGGGCTGAAAAGATGACTCAGTGGTTAAGGGAACATACTTTCCAGAGAGCCTGTGTTCAAACTGCAGGCATACATACAGTTAAGAATAAAAATCATGGGAGGCAGAGGCAGGAGGATCTCTGAGTTCAAGGCCAGCCTGGTCTGCAGAGTGAGTTCCAGTTCAACCAGAACTGTTACACAGAGAAACACTTGTCTCGAAAAACCAAAAATAAAAATATTTTTTTGTGGGGAGGGAGTGTTTAAGACTAGGTCTCCACATAGCCCTGGCTTTTCTGGGGCTCTCTGTGTAGACCAGGATGGCCTCACAGAGATCTGCCGTCCTCCTATCAATAGTGTTCAGCCACTACTCCCAGCTAATCTTTTAAAATTAGATTGAATGATATATCAGCGTCTCTGATGAACTTTTCTCTCCACTGGAGTCTAGGATCCCAAGCTCTCCACTGAGCTCCGCTGTGCCTTGCAGCAAACCCTTGTCTACTGGCTCCACCCTGCCTTTTCATGGCTGCCACTTTTCCCTCGAATTGGAGCTGATAAGAAGATGGCTGGAAAGTCCAGTCCATGGTCAAACGATGAAACTCTGCAACAAACTCTAATGAGTGACTGGTAAGACCAGAAGATGTGTGCATTCCAAAGGTAACATGCAATACCAGGATTCTCTAGTATGACTAACGGCTCTGGATGCTTCTGGACCTTATCAGGAGCTGTTAACGACCAGGGCGTACTCCTTTTGCTTTTTTCCCCAGCTTTATCCCTGTCAAATGTGTAACGTCTGTATTGGATAAGTAGACAGACAGGTCTAAGCCTCCCTGTCTGTTGATGCTTTTTCCATCAGAAGTAGCTTGGAGACTGCAGCCAGTTAGGAGTTTTGCTTGAATGAACCTGTGTTCCACCACCCACATAGCACTGAAGACTCAGCAGCAGCACCATGCCAGTTGCAGTCCTCGAACGAGCTCAGGCAGCTGCAGAAGCTCCATTCAGTACTCAGAAAATTTATGTTGGGTTTTTATCTACTTGTCAGAATTAAGTTTAAAATGTTTTAACACGTAAAAACCTTGTTTTGTTTTATAGGTCTGTGAGTTTTACTTCTTTGTATAATCTGCTGAAGACAAAGCTTTGCCCCTTTTTCTACGTCTGTACCTATCAGTTTACTGTCCTGTTCCGGGCAGCAGGATTAGCAGGAAGTGATGTGGTCACAGCGCTTGTATCTCCTACAACTAGAGGTTTAAGAGAAGCTATGAAAAATGAAGGTAATAGTTTAGATTTAAAGTTGAGGGTCCCTCTTGCCCCAAATGCTGAACTTTAGGTGCTGGAGAGAGAGCTACTCTTTCACAGGCTCTGGGTTGGATTCCCAGCACCCACATGGTGGCTAGCACTGCCTGGGATTCCAGTTCCAGGGGATCCAGTGCCCTCTGCTGGCCTCTAGGCACCAGATACACAGAGGTACACAGACATAAGCACCCATACACATAAGATTTTTTTTTAAAAAAAAAAAGCACTTTTTGTCTTTTACAAATTGGTTATCAATATTATTTTAAGAGATATAGTTCATTTTTTTTCAGAGTTTTTTTTTTTCTGTCCTATTGGTAAAGTTGTCTCTTAAATGTAACTGGAAGTCAATTGTGCTGCTTTTTCTGATCTCTGAAGTAATGCACATAATAGGTCCCCAAAGTCACTGTCTTACTGAATTGATTTTACTTTTTTAAACATTTTTACATTTATGTATTTATTTTGTGTGCATATGTGTTTCTGTGGTTACACACATACTGTGGCACACATGTAGAGGTTAGGACAGCTCATAAGAGTCATTTCTTCACTGTGAGTGCTAGACAGTAAACTCCACCCACTAACCCATCTCACCCGTTCTCGATTCTCTGACATTTCAAATTATCTAACCTTCCTCTTTAATAATTTTAAAACTGGGTTAGCCCATCCGTTATGGAACAGGACAGGGAGGGAGGGTAAAGATGAGTCCTGTTTCATAGAAAGCCACATCTGTGTTCCCACAGCAGGACACTCGTGGGGAACTGAAGGAAACTGAGTTTCCTTTACTTTCCCGATGCAGGTGTTGAATTCTCTCTGCCTTTGCTAGAAGAAAGTGGCCGCAAGAAGAAAGGACGAGAAGCAAACCTGGAGTCTGAGGAGTATGTGCTTATGTAGGCTTTACACAGTCCCCAATTTCTGAGCGAGCTGTCAGAGCGCCCACTGTAAATATATGCTTCTAACCAGCAGTCTCCTAGGGAGCCAGCGGCCAGCGATGACGATGAAGAGGAAAGCTTTTCTTGGCTGGAAGAGATAGGTGTGCAAGATCAGATTAAAAAGCCAGACATGATCTCGGTCAAGCTGTATCCTTTCTGTTGCTATTGAGTTAGTGGCTTACCACTGATTTAAGTAAAGACACTCCACATTTGTCATGTGCAAAGTTTTTATTGGCTTCTATTTACCATGTTCAAATGGTCAGCATTTCATTCAGACTTGTGAAATGAGACAGGGAGCCCCAAACATATGGAATCAAGGTAGCTTGATATGGGATTTGGGGGGGGGTTGTTTTATTTTTTATTTATTATATATAAAATATGTATTTATTTATTATGTATGCAATATTCTGTCTATGTGTATGTCTGCAGGCCAGAAGAGGGCACGAGACCTCATTACAGATGGTTGTGAGCCAACATGTGGTTGCCGGGAATTGAACTCAGGACCTTTGGAAGAGCAGACAATGCTCTTAACCACTGAGCCATCTCTCCAGCCCCCTTGTTTTTTGATTTTTTTGCTCTTTCCTTGATTGTCATTTTCAGAATTAGAGAAAAAAATGAAGTACAAATGGATCACAGACCTGAATCTGTCGTACTGGTGAAAGGACTCAACACTTTCACGTTGCTCAATTTTTTGATCAACTGCAAGAGCTTAGTTGCTACCTCAGGTGCACAGGCAGGCCTTCCTCCAACCCTTTTATCCCCGGTAGCCTTCCGAGGTGCCTCAATGCAAATGCTTAAGGTAAGCAAGGATTTACTTCGCCTGCAATCAGTTCTTAGTACAGTATTTCATCCCTCAAAGGTGCCATCTTGACTTTCGTTCTTTGTGTAGCCCTGACTGTCTTGGAACTGCCTCCATAGACCACTCTGGTCACAAGCTCATACATAATCGCTTCTCTGTCTCCTAAGTCCTGGGATTGAAGGCATGTGCCACTATGCGTAGCTCAAATTCCCAATTTTGAAAAAGTAATCCTAGGGACTAGGGAGATAGATGCCTCAGTACTTAAGAGCATTTGCTGCTTTTTCAGAACACCCAACTTGAGTTCCCAGCACCAGCATGACCATGGCTCACAGCCATCAGTAAGTCTAGTCCAAGGGGTCTGATGCCCTCTTATCCCCACAGGTACCAGGCACAATGTGGTGGCCACACCTTTAATCCCAGCACTTGGGAGGCAGAGGCAAGCAGATCTCAGTGAGTTCAGGGAAAGCTGGGGCTACATAGTGAGACACACACACACCCCCACCCACTGCCTAAAATTTATACTTGGGAATTTTTTTAGTTGTTCTAGTATGCTTTGCACTTTGTTTTTTCAGTACTAAGACTGAGCCAGGGTTTGGAGCATATTGACCCACTGTATGCTGACCTACATTCCCAGTTTAGTTTTTGCTTTCCCCATTAAAAATAAGTATTATTTATGAGCTCGTTTGGAAGGAGCTCACCTGGCTACCTGAGACCCTCTCAGAATATGTGTATTATATATGTATACATGAAAATACACGGATTAAGTCAGATCTCTTTTATTTGCATCTATCCTGTGACTTTATCATATGACATAATCCAATCTAGCCTCAAACTCACTGTAGCAGAGGGTGACCCTGAGTTCTTGACCCTCTGCTACCAAGTACCAGAATTACAGGCCTAAGTCACTGTGCTTGCTGAATTTTGGTTTTCTTTTCCCCACGTACTGGATAAATTATAATTGGTAACATTTTGTGTTCCCTTCGTCATTTTAGTCGTCTAATCCTGTTTTATGTATGTACCAATGCAATCGCACACCCAGAAGTAGTTTCAGATCTCAAAAATAGTGAAAGTGAAGCAACATGTTAAGTATTATGTAGACATCTTAGGAAACAAAAGTAGTTCATTTCCTATCAGAAGAAACCCTAAATACAAATGCACTGGCCACATCTTCAGCTAAGGGACAGATTGAGGTATGATCCTAATTGCCTTTTTCTTTCAATTTTTTGAAGGCACGAAGCATTAATGTAAAGACACAAGATCTTTCTGGGTACAGAGACAAGTTTAGTTTGGAGATCACCGGTCCCATCATGCCTCATGCTTTGCAATCTATGATCATGCTACTCAGATCTTCACAGAGAGGGTCATTCTCTGCTGGGATGTATGCACATGAGCCAACTGCTGCATTCAATGTCTGCCTACCACTGGAGAAGGAACCGCATAGAGTAAGTAGTCTCAATTATTATAGCTTGTGGAAGAAATGTCACTTATGATAGGCCAGATTTCTATCAAGTTAGAAAGCAAATTATGAATTAAGGAATAGCCACATGTACATAAAACTTATGAAATCAGGCAATACTAAAACTTTCCAAACCTGAAAAGTACTTACTACCCTCACAACTTAAGTTTAGTAATGCCTGATTTCTTTGTAGTTTATTTACTACAATTTACTAGAGCTTTTTCCTGTTTTTCATGTATGTGCATATGGTATTTGCAGTTTTGTATGTGCTTTAGGCACAGCGGTTCCGCCTTCAGAGGCTGGAGTTACAGGTGCACCATGTATGCCCAGCATTTCTGTGGGTTCTGGATACCCCAACTCTGTCTCCCCATCCTACTTAACTGATCGCCTTTGAATTCTAACCATCTTTAGACTTTAACAGTCCTTAATAGACCTGGTACCTGTCACATTTGAAGGTCTCGTAACCATGATTAAGTGACTTTTACTTACCAGTCTGTATGATTAGTAAAAACTCAGTGTTGAAGAAATAATGTGTTTATGGATGTGTACTTGTATTTCTGCAGAAAGATGCTCCTAAGGACCTTGCTAACTGTGGGCTGCACCCCAAAACCCTACAGCAGCTCAGTCAAATACCACTGCTGGGGAAGTCATCCTTAAGGAATGTGGAAATGAATGACTACATTTTTAATTGGAGATCCTGAACACCAAAGTAAGCCTAAAGGGAAACTGAGGAAAAGCTTCCTAGCAAGGAAGGAAATTGATGATTCTTAGGTCTCTGGCTCTTTAAAGTTCATTTTGGAAGACTATGTTTTAAAATACTGAAATGTTTTTAAACATTGACTTTTTATATGAACTTTTATTATTAAATGCATTAGTTTTAGGTTTAAAATCAACATTTTGCTTTTGTTATTTTCATACATTTTCAGTTCAGGAGATTCAAGCTGTTTCCTTAAAGCTCAGATAACTTGAATGACAATTCTATATCTGCAACTTGATTGTAACCCAAGTAGAGAACTGAATTAAAAGTGAGTGTTTCAATACAGATGAGGAATTGAGATTAGATAGATAGATGGATGGATGGATGGATGGATGGATAGCACTTATTCCATTGAGACTAATAGTCTGAAAAGCATCTACTATGCCTTGGACTACTAGTGGGTTCTTTGGAGACTTGGGAAATGTAGACACAACTGCAGCCTTGTCATTAGTCATTTCTCCAGTATTCACTCACACTTGTGTTCTTCTGTAGAGTGAGACAGAAGTGTTGGATGGTGAATCTGAGCTTACTCATTGTGCTTATAGGTAGTCTGTGTGTTTGCATGTGTGTGTAAAATTCAGCATTTTCAAATAAACGTGCATAGAAGTCACAAGTATTGGGTAACAAATAATAATAGTTAGTTATATGTGTTCCATAAAGCCAGAAAATAAAACACCACATTTATTCCAGAGAAGGTTGTATTTGGGCCTTAAGCTTTTGAAAATAAAGTTTAGAGACATAGCATATGAATACCACTGTAATACACATGAATATTCTATCAGACCCTAAAAAATTAACATCAACTTAAACTTTCTCATATTCAACAAAATAGTGGCTGATTGCCAATTTTTATTAGATAAGTTGGTTACAGCATTTTTATTTACGTCTATCTAGGTGTAGCTGAAATTCAAAATGCACATCAAAGTAAAACTATATCACAACTCAAGCCATACTAAATATGTACTTGGCCTCTGAAATAAAATTCTAGTTGGACTTCCATTCACTCCCTTCTTATGATCCAAGTGGCTTTAATGGGAATGCAGGACTTAGTGCTGATCATGACACAACAGATCACTTTCTTTTCATAACCTCTACAAAAATTTAAGGGGGCGGGGGAATGGTGGCATTAGCCCTGTGGAACAGATCTTGCTTCATTACTTTAATAACACTGGCCCAGTATCTGTCCAGCAGAACCCATTGTGAAATAGTACAAGGTGCACAGCCCTTCACTGATTACAGGCAAGTGTTACAGTAGCCTAGCCATAAGGAAGGGGAGTTACATCATAGTACAAAATACAGTATAAAAGCGTTATTTAACATTCCACACTGAATATTACTGATGCCTTCAAACAATTGTTTTGATGTTAGCCACTTAAACAAATACATCACTAAGGTAAACAATATAAACATACCAAAACCCTGTATGGTTAAATACAATTTCCATGGTACAAAAACCAAAGCCAGAAGATGTTTGTACAGATTGCTTTTTACACAATGTCTTAAATTGTGAAATATTTACAACATTAAGGAGGAAATACATTGTGATGCAGAGTAAAATTATCTGAAATGATTAATATAAAACCTCAATCTATCTACGTGAGGCACTCCTGAAGCAAGTGGCATTAGCCATGAGGTCCTTTGGTACAAGGCCCATTGCTTGAAGAACCACAGTAGCTGCTGTGGCTTTAGCATGCTTCTTATTAGGGCTGGCAAAGCTGGGCTGGTAAGCGCTTCCATTAATCAATACCTATTCAAGAAAAACATACAATTGGGCTGGTAAGGGCTTCCATTTCTCAATACCTATTCAAGAAAAACATACAATAAGAACAGCATCAAACTTTAATATCTATTAGCTTTGTACTTTTTCACTAAATTCTAAAAATAATTTACAATTATAAACCCCAAATTAAAATTAATCTCAACCCAGAAGCAGTAAATGATTTTAAAAAGGAAACTGCAAAATAAATGCAGGTCTCCGCATCATTTTAAAAGTACTAATTACCCACCCATTCCCCTAGAAAGTATCAGATGTTAACCATATTTTGTCTATACCCCCCATTTAATTTTCTAATTCTTAATTACACATTAAAGAATTACCCACTCTTCCCACATATATGCACATCTGTAACCCACCCACAGAATATTAACACTGGTTGTATCACACCTATCCCTTAGCCCTCTGATACTGGTATATAATTAGTATATAAATTCATATTTACCCTAAAGAGAAAATGTTTGCGATGATCTGGGCCACTATCATGGACCAAGAGAAATTCAGGTGGTTGCCACCTTCTTTTATTACAGATTTCCATCAAGGCAGACACAGGATGTTTGCCTGTAGAGAAAAAAAAAAAAAAACAAGTATTATAAATATTTCCACCAACTTTGCAACAACTTAAGATTTTATGGTATGAGTAAGTAAGGGTTTTGTTCTCACCTGATAAGTCTTTCATTGCAGCAGAGAAGTTCCCAGACCTCTTCTGTGCTCTCTCTCCTACTGCAACAAGACCTATAAAAAGGAAGCCAAAATTTACAAGATAAGTATTTTAAAATTATAATAGATGGAAAAAAATACCTCCTCCTACTAAAACCAAAATACTGATGCCTTCAAATAAAATACTCAGTAGATTTATATCAAAATGGACTTTAGCTTAGTCACAAAGCACTGTCACAAGGATCTGAGTCTGAGCCCCATCAAATTCTGAAAAGCCAGCTGTGTTAGAACACACTTGTAATTCCAGCACTTGGGTGACAGGTGGGTCCCTGGGGCTTTCTACCATCCAGCATACCATTTGGTGGGCTCCAGGCAAGTGAGACCCTGTTTCCAAAGTCAAGGTGGATGGTGCCTGACATCTACCAAGTGCACACAAGCACACTCAGAGAAGGGCCATGTCACTGTCAGCATCTCACAGTCTTTTTTCCTACAAGTTTAAAGAGTGGAAACTACTAACTGCAAGTAACTTTACAAATTAATCTTTTAAAACCGGTTGAAGTTAAAAGTATGGCCCCTGCAAAACAAAGGCACACACAGTGAAAAAGGAAGTGTCCCCAAAATGAGACCCTGCATCTTTAAAAAATGTAAGCCCCTCCCTACATACCAAGTAGTGCAATTTCCCACTTTTTGTCTTTAAAAAGCAAACTTTTCAGCCACTCTATTGTTAGAATAGACTTTCCCTCTGTTTGAAAGTTCACACATTATGTTGAATAATTTCAATGTGGATACTTCCTAGAATTATACAAAAGCAACTAGATTCACAGATAGTCTATTTACCAGACAAATTGAAATTTAACTCCAACTTATCATTGAGAAAAAAAAAAAAACAAGTTTCTAAACGTCATGTCAAAATTGTATGTGGTAGCACATGCCTATAATCCAAGAATTTGAGAAGTCTAGCAATAGGATTGGGGGGGAGGGGAGCTCAAGGCTCACCTCGGCTATATGATAGATGTCCCTTTTGTTTGTTTTTCCAAGACAGGGTTTTCTCTGTGGCTTTGACTGTCCTGGAACTCACAGAAATATGCCTACCTCTACCTCCGGCTACTTGTTTGTTTTGCTTTGTTTTTTTGTTGACAGGTTTTCTTTTGGTAGCCATGGCTGTCCTAATAAGTCTTGCTCCGTAAACCAGGCTGACCTCAAACTTAAAGAGATTTGCCTGTCTCTGCTGGTATCTAAGGCATTCACCACCAGGCCTGGCCCATACCTTAAATAAGTAAAGGTTTACACAAGGAATATGAGCTACCAACCAACATTCAACATTCAACAGCTCTGCCACTAGCCAGCTCTTAACTAAAACAGCTAACAGGTAACAATTCCAAGGTCCCCAACAGGAGGTAATGAAGAACTAATACTGCTGACTGCTGCTTATCTGTGATTTCACCCACAACACAAATACTAAACTTTTTAAAGCTTTTTAAATCAAGTAGAAACTTAGAAATTAAGAAACTAAAGTGTCTAAGAAAGAAAAATAACACGTTAGAAATAAAGATAAACAAACAAGCCAAGGACTGTGATGACCTGTAATTCTAGCTCTCAGGAAACAAGGCAAGAAGATCATTTCAAGTTCAAGGCCACTCAAGACCCAGCAGAGACAGACAGACAGAAAGGCTGTCTGAAAAGACCACCAAAAAAGCTAGAGAGATGGTTCAACAGTTAAGAGCGCTGGTCTTCCATGCGTCCCTGCAGCTCACAACCATCTCTAATTTTAGTCCCAGGATTCAATGCCCTCTTCTGGGCTTTATGGGCACTGGGCATATACATGTTGCAAAAACATACATGCAGAAAAAGCAGACCTCTATATATAAATCATTTAAAAAAAAAAAAAAAAAGACAACCAAATAATGGACCAAGATGTTTCCACAAGTAAGGGTGCTTGCCATGTAATGCCTGCACAATAAATAAATGTAACAAGAATAAAAAGGAAACCAACTAAAATAATCTCCATTAAGAGCAAAAGAAAAAAATTTTAAATTTAAATATTCAAAACGCACACAGATTTTCATAATAACTGCCACAATGCAAGTTGTCAAACTAATATCTTCATCAACAGAAATAAGCTGCTCTGTGTGAAAAATGTGTTAAAGGTTTCTCTAGCAAAGAGCTGTTCAATATTTGTCTCCAGTCCATGGTCACTAACACCAAAATAAGATAAAAACTAAAGAAAATGGGACTCAAAATATTTCAAAAGAACTTACCTTTCCGGTCTGTCTTAAAATCAACGAGGATAGGTTCCTTATTTCCTTCTTTGTTCTTTCCTAACCCTTCTCCTTCTCTCCAGCCCATTTTTCTCATCAAGACAGCACCCATTCCTCCAGTTACTGGGGCTGCTCTTAAAAACTGATCCTATCCAAAGAAAAAAAAGGGAAAAGGCCCCCATTTTAAAGTTAGAACTGAACTACAATGTTAAATCCTCCTTTACTTCTAGATCAGTAGCATTAAATTTAAACTCTACTATGCTTAGTACATTCTGTAGCTTATGCTCTAGTAATAATTACCAACACTTGAAAGTCAAATGGCAATTTTAACAGTTGCCCCTCGGTGCCCCCCTCCAAAAAAAAACAACAACAAAAAGAGCACTCCTGTTTTCGTCCACTATTTAGGTTCACTGGTATCTCTTCTTAGCTTGTAAAATAAAAAGAAGGCAATGTTAAAACAGTCAATATTATTATCTCAGATATACCTAGTTTATGAATAAAGCCTAGAAATTATTTTAAAATAGTTTTTGGACACTGAAGAAGCATACAGTTGTCATCCAGTTTTCTTTCCCATTCTACTATAAAGCAAGTATCAAATTTTTACTTAGAAAATCCCTATAAACAGAATAAATTTACATGTAGTAAGTTATAAGCACATCAGATACCCTGAGTACCAAATCTGAATTCTTCTAAAACCTGGCTTGATGTTAAGAGACTTAAAAAACTCCTTAAATGTTTACATACCTAGGCCTCGGTAGCAGCAGTGTTGTGAATAGTACGGCTGGCACTGACCGGGGCAAGAAGACAGCTACAAGGATTTGGCCCTGAAACAAGTTTCCATACAGAGGGGTGAAAGTTCACAGGTTATTCTGTGAACAATCATCTCTCTCGTATCCAACCCACTGAACCATATTTTCCATCAAAGCAGCAAACCACTTAATGTCCTGGGCTGCACAACTATGTGCATTAGCACGGTCAGCAGTCTTGGATCTTCCAGCTGAGAAATGGCCAGTGCCTTTTGAAATAGGCGTCAATGCACATTCTATCAGCAATGAATTCTGCTGTTGATCTATGTGGGGTTTTTTCTTTTTAGTTGAAGCATCTCTAAACAATGTTTTATTTCAGATTATAACATTTTAAGTTAATGTTCTCTGTCAGATATATACTAAGTCATTACAGAGTCAAATGTTTGGTAGCTCAGCAAGCAGGTATGCATTCTTTTTCCTTCTATCAGTAAGCTGATACTTAAAAGTTATATTTTTACACTGCAGTAAAATATATAAGCTTTGTTTCCCAGCTTTGTAATTAAATGTTGGGGAGAAAATATGCCAAGGACATGTGACTAGACATTAAGTTCAACAAGGTGCTCTGATGGAAGGAGGCAGCTGTGGAGGTAAAAACATACCCCTGGTTCAGTTCCTTATTTGGTGCAGGCCATGCATTGTGGATGTATAAAGAGAAAAGTTAGCTGATGCTTGGGTTTCCACTGCCTTGATGCTACACACCTAGAATGACTATACTTACTTCAGGTTCATCTCCCCTCTTTTCCAGGTAACACTCCTAAAAAAAAGGGCAACTGTACAGACAGAGTACAATATAAATCCCCATGTAGCCCAGTTTTCACTTCGGTTTGCTATTATATTAGCACCTGCCTCTTTACCCAGTGTAAAAAGCTGTCTTGATCTAATGAGAACACAATAACCAACATTTTTATGAAATTAAAACCCAAATACTTTGAGAAAATAAAGGTCCCTTAAAATTAATGAAATTTTAAATGTCTTACTGATAAATAATATAAATGAAATATTTCTCTTAATCTAAAAGTATTCTAAAACAAACTAAAGAACACAGGGTATTAGTTGGTATTCCCTATGGTTATCAATACATGACAGTGCTGGGCCAAGAAAAGCCAAATGGCCATTTCAACATTTCCTAAACACAATTTAATGGGTATAGAAAGAACGTTTGAAAAGTACCAATGAAATTTTCAGTTGCCTAATGACTCATAAATGCACTGGCCTATTTTAATAAAATAATGCTCCTCCAGTTTCCATTCAACAGATACTCTACCCAGTAATTCACAATACGATCATTTTTCTGTGATTGTTGATTCCTTCTATAATGTAAGAATTTGCTTCCAAGATTATATTATATATAAAATGTAAAGCTAAATCATTCTCAAGGTTCTAGTAAACAATAACTACTTACAAGCTGAAAAACAGCACAAATCTATTTGTGAGACGGTGTATAGGGAGCCACTCGAGTAAGTGCAAACTCACCTTGGAAATTCACTTATGTTTATCTGCTCTTTACACATACACAGAGAGCAGCACATTTCAGTGGAAAACCTTCCAGAAGCTTCTACCTGGCAATGCACATGAACTATTACAAGCATAAATACTCACAAATACCTAACACTGAGCTTCAGGACCAAATAAATGAAACATGACTGAACGTGTGACTCTCGAAAGCTTGCTTACTACGTAAAACTGAGGGCCCCAGTTTTAATGCCCAATGTCAAAAATAGTAAACAATTCCTCCCCACTAAAATGAAAGCTACTTTTCAACTATCAACTTCTATAATTTATATGAAGTATTAGTATATAAAATTAATCCGATCATTTAAAATACTGCTAGATTATCCCTTTTTACCCCAAAACCAATGCCTAGGTACATATGCGTGCAACTTTCTAACAGGGGAAAGGCAAGCACAATGAAGATGTGTAATACCTTATATTAATTAGTTAATAAGAGAACCACAGGGAATGCTTGCTATAAAACTGTTATATTAAATGTCCAAAGCAACCAAAATTTTCTTTTTTGAAAAATTCACCTCATCCATGAGTAGCACTCGTACATATAAGTAATAAGGTACCCATCACATCACTGATTACCATTGTTGGAGACATTGATAACAACCTGTCTCCCACAACTTGACACTTGGGAGACAAAAATTCCAAGGAATTACTTGCCCACGATCACACAAGGAGTCAGGAGTACAGCAGGACAAAGAAACCTTCCCAATCCAAGAGACCACGCAGCCTCCCAGTTTCAGCACTGCTGTTGCCAGTACTCCTGAAACAAATTTCTCATCACCCATCCAACCAAACCACAGCCCGTCACCAAGCGTCATTCCTTCAGAATGCCCCCTTTTAACCACCTAAGACTCCCCCAACAATGAGGTAGCCGTAGGTAGAGTTGACAAATCTCATTGCAGGAATCTGAGATCAGGTGCACCTACATCTTCGTAGCATGAGATGTCCGTCCTCTCCCTTGATTTTAGGTCTTACATATCCTGTTTTTTCATGAAGTCAGTGGTTCTCAAATTGAGCCTGTGGATCACCAGAGGCCACCAGGACCTAAATGGTGGTCCACAGATAGTTATCTCCAGCCCAACCCACCCTCTTACCCCCCTTCACAACTGCCCACCCCACATTCCACAGCCATCCTCCTCCCACCTTTCAGTCCCATGGCAAGTTTACCACATGCAGTATTAATTAGGGCCTCCCAACCACTTAATTAGATCTAATAGTTGACCACCATATAGGGACCTGGGGCTAGAAGTCATAATAGGAAGGTAGGAGCAAAGGTATTTATAAGCGGGTGCAGGCACTAATGAGAGGACAAGGACAGAGGAATGGAATATTAGGGTGGCAAAGGGCTCTTGGGGGTAGTGATCCACCAAAACTAAACCTGTAATAAAGTATCCCGTGATGAGAATGTTTGAGCACACTGCTCTGAAATGATTAGGTTAGTAGTCCGACAGGAACTGCGGAGGATTCTGAACAGCACCTGGTACAGTTAGCATTCAAAACAGTTAAGTAGAACCACCCCCACTAAAACCAACTGCAAAATCATGAAAAACAACCACCTTCAGATATAAAGTGAGTGGCTCTCGAGTCATATGTGTGCATTTGGCATTGTCTCAGGATTTCAGCCCATCTTCAGTGTCCATCCTGGAGCATTTACGCATAGTGAACTTACTCAGGAACTTAGGTTAGTCACTTGCCTCTCCATTTTTAAGGTATGATTACCAAAAAAACAAAAACAACAACAAAAAACTCAGCTTCTTATTTTTTGATAGTCCGTGTACCTTTTTAATCCAGGCTTGGGCACCAGTATTAGCCAGCTGTTCCTGTGTTAGGACCTGCACTCCTGTACTTCCTGTGAACTGCCCAGGGATAGAGTTCAACTGAGCCCAGGCATCAATCTGAAGAAAAAGAAGCCATCTTCATTAAGTAAAAGTATTGATCTGATGAAAGCGCCACACTGGTAGTTTAATTCACTGAGGAAAATGATTTGGTTCCTGAAGTAGTCAAATAATGATATATTTTAAAGTTTAAGTAAGTTTTACAGAATTCAGTGAAATCTATTAATGCAAAAGAAGGTATGAGGTTGGAGACGAAAAATGTAGTTCTTATGGCCAAAGATCTCTGCCTTTGTCATTTGACATATCATACAAGTGCATCCAAATAACTGCCATGTCATCTGAATCTCTGGCGAATCCTGCGAGATAATATCTACACATGGCATAGTACAGAAAAAGGTCAAAAGCAGAAACACCTACTGTGCTGCAGAATCAGGTGTCTTTCATGTTGCATTTAATGCATACCTGTATTACCAGCAATGTTACTTCCTACCTAAACTGTTCCTATATAGATTTAGCATAAAATGAAAAGCTATTTCCTTCCTGTTCAAAGTAGACTCTGATTCATTATTATTTGGGTAATGAACCTCACTTCTACTGACGAGTTGTGGGTATCAGCTGACTACTGCTTAGCTCAGTTTGCTTAGCTGAAACAAAGAGAGTAATAGTAATACCTCATGGAGTTGTTCTGGGCACTTACGTGCATATCAGACTGTAATCTCTTTAGGGATTTATTTTCTATTTTGTTCTCAAATAGTTCTTCCCATAATATGCAATAAACATTTTCTTAGTCTCATTAGGTCTAAGTCATTTTTATTTAAAATAAGTCAGCAATTAAGACAGAATAAAGTATAACGAATATCAAGTATAAAACAGCATATGTAGACTGAGTCCAGGTCTCCACTAACACACACCTGAAAATGGTATTGGTTTCTGACAACCACTGCTGTAATGAATCGAAAATCTAGATAGTGAAATTCTCATTTAAACATTAAAAGTCACATACCCGTTCTTGAGCTCGATTTAACATACTCATTGCTTCAAGGTCAAATGCATTCTCACTGAGTCTCTTCTGAGCAAGTGCCCGTTCACTCATTGCTGTTGAGATGTCCACAGGCTAAGAAAGAAAACATAGATAATTATCCAAAATTACCACAGTCCCCTAATTCTCTCGGGTGCTTCTATGTCTTTAGATGCTACATGTAAAAAAATAAACCATAGTCTATGTATTAAGATTCTTGGAAAATGAGAAGATTCAAAAGGCAAAGAGGACACTCCTGGAAAATAGAAGACAGTTAAGGTAAGTTAGTTGTCAAGTATTCAGAGAGTCAGAACTCAGTCCAAATTCTGATTTCATCAGCATATTTCCTATAATATCAAACTAGAACCATTGAGTTTCATTATGAACTCATTATCGGTAGCCTTTCCTATCAAGCCACTTAAATGGTAGGTTTTTTGTTTGTTTGTTTATTTGGGGTTTTTTTTTTTGGGGGGGGGGGGGACGAGATAGAGTTTCTCTGTGGCTTTGGAGCCTGTCCTGGAACTAGCTCTTGTATACCAGACTGCTCTCATAGGTTTTTAACTGTTATGTTAAACTATTATGATACTCTCTAACAATCCATCTTACTCTAGCTGATTATCAGTGTAACTTCAGAGCAGTAGTCAAGTCTGTGGATAAGCAGCAGAACACCATTGAGTCAGGACGACTCTTTACTCATAGCAGGGTTCCCGGGAGCAGAGACAGGAATGGATATGCTTTGATCCTAAGCTCCCAGGAGCTCAAAAAATTCTAATCAGTACGTAGTTATTTTGAAGTACATACATTTATTACCATAATCTAGAAATAACACTGATTTTTAAAAGTGTTTAAGTCCTCTCCCAAAATCTTGTCATCTACCTTTGAAAACTTAGGCTAAGGCTCATGAGGCATAGTTGAATGGTTAGCATGGGAGGTAGGTCACCACCATCACAGATCTCTTATATACAATGAAAGCACAGCCTCTTGTGCTAAGCAGGTGACAGATTTAAGGGCTTAACCACTTTATGATGAAAACAAATTGAGTTTTATGAACTCAATATTCTTTCAATATCATTTAACATACTATTATTTTCCAGTTATTTCACATGATAAATTTTTTATGAAGTGTTTAATACAAAGGCTTACTGTTTTCACATACATAGGTACTGCATGGATACTGCAAATGAAAGTCAATAAAGCAGCTTTTAAGAAAATAGAAGCTAGCAATAATCTCACTGGGTACTGTGTATAATTATTACAAAAGTAAATCTATATACCAAAGGAAGAACCAAGTATCCTTTTCCCTACTTCAAATTTGCTTACGTATCATTCATTCCAAGTTATCTTGACTGAAATTGTCTAAGACTCCTTTCACTAACAAAATATACTTTTCTGGCTTAAAATGAAAATAAGTAAATAAATAAACATAATTGATACCCATTAGACTATTGTAAATGAAAGCTCTTACTTGCTTAGTTAACAGTATTATCCATGCTTAATATTTAGTTTTAAGGCCTACAAAAATGAAGACAACCTATGTAAAGTCACACCAAAATACTATACTCGTTTACTATGAGTTAATTTCTGGGACTCAAATCTGTTCCAGGTAATTCCTGAGTCTTTCAATGTGAATATAGTTACTTCAGACCAAAATTTATTATTTCTTAGGCCTACCTTGGATGTAAAGTTACCTGAACTGTCAAGTAGAATTATCTTGTAGATACTTTTGTCTGTGCAGACCCAAACAACCAAATGAGACACATACCACTGCATTAGTCTTCTTAAACTTACTTTGGTTTCAGAGCAATCTGCAAACCTAAGTGATGGGTGCTAAGTCATAGTAAGTTTTTATTCTTGGAAGACACTGGGGAAAATATGTCTACTCATTCCAATCCAACAATAAAGTTTCAATATCCAACATAAAGTTCCAGCTTCATAGCCATAAAATACACTGAGCTCTAACTAAATCTAAGTAAAACAAAAAAATTTACCTAAGAATCTGTCCTTTACTGGCCTGCTTACAGTACATTTTTCTTGTAAACTTGATTGAGAAGTAACTAAAATACTCCTTCTAGAGCCCAAAAGAAACTACTTTAAGCCTCAGTATTATTTCATATTAAATACTTCATATTAAATTTATATCTCATTATAAAAAACATGTTTAATATTAACAACCTTGATATTTAAATAAATGACAACTATTTCCTAATCAACTGCACTTATTTTTTCAAAGGCTTAGCAAATCATTAAGTTTATATAAAAATTCACTTATTTCTATTTTTATGTGAAATATATCAAAAATTGAGGCAATCTAGATTACCTTAGGTTGGGAATATAGCCCAGCTGTAGAGCACTTGCCTAGCATGTACAGAACTATGAGTTTCATCTCTAGCTTAATAAAAGAAGGGAGGGGGTTTAACATCTACAAGAGTTTTATCCAGCTTTTCAAGGTAATTCATATTATATGCTTATCCAGCTTTTCAAGGTAATTCATATTATATGCTAAGACATAAAGGACTAACTAAACTGCAGTCCCGAAAGCATTAATAGTCAAGAATCTGATAAAATGTTACATAGTCTTGTTAAAACGCATAAAATACCATAGGTAGCTGGGCATAGTGGTACCCAGTTTTATTTCCAGCATTTAGGAGGCAGAGGCACATGGATCTGGGTTCAAGGTCAGCCTAGTCTACTAAGAGAGTTCAGGCAAGCCAGAGCTATGTAGAGAGACCCTGTCTTGGGAAAACAACACACACACAGTTAGCACTTGGAATTTGGGAACTTTAGTGGCTAGTGACTGCTACATTGAAAAATGTTTTATTTTCTTAACCAGTCTTTAATGTTGTTCAAAAAATAAGAAATATGAGAAAGATTCCAGGTTTCCCTCTACAAACTAAAGAGATATTTGTAAAGTCTGTAAAGCGACTGATAAATTATTAACATGTCATTTCTTCTATAAAGTAACTGTGGTGGCACTACTCTAGGTACTAGAACAGAAATGCTGAATTCCTTCACCTAAAATAAAGAAAATATACATAGTGTCCTGAATCACAATTCTCACATTTAAAAAAGCCATCATTTCTTTAACTCCTTATCTAGAGCAGACTGCAGCTGCTCTACAGACTGGACATGAGGTCACCACCACAATCATACACAGACATTAAGTTCACTCCTCCCCATTCACTTACTCTCCCTCTGGAAAGCCAAGCAGTTTATAGAAACAACAAAAAACTTAAAAATTTCACAGAATGTCAGTGGCTGATAGAAAAGAGCTTAAGGTGAGTGCGCAGGGCTAAAGTGGATTATTTTCTACACAGGTGACTGCAGGGTATCTCAAAAGGCATGCAGCAAAGTCTAATAACAGCTGAAGAAAAACATCCAGCCTAGAAAACATTTACAATACTTAACAAAAATGATAAAAATGAATCAGTTCATATGAAACAGTGTCAACTTCAAAAAGGAAAGGCACATCAACATACAACATCCCTAATTCACTTTTTCATATGAATTATGAATATTATTTTTATTATACAAAATTCTATACCATAATTGAGTTATAAAGGAATTAATATTTTTCTCCTTCTAAGTACTTCAGAGAAATTCGGGGTTCCCAGGCTAAAGATCTAGGGAAAAAGAGTAACTAACAAGGCTCTAATTTACGTCCAGCAATATTGTATTTAATTCAAGGACTGCTTTAACTAAGCCCAGTTATAACTTTCATCCTTTTCTAAGAAGTAAGCTTTGACAAACTTCATATACTTAAGAGTTTCCAATTTCAAGAGAATCTTAGCTACAAGGATGAGACAGGACCCAATACAAACCTAGCACACTGCTTGAGACAAATGAATTAGCAGCGACTATGCTTATCACACCACTTGTGAATGTGTCCTACCTCTAATCTACAATAAGCCTTTGCTGACCTTATTAAAGAACTGTCCTTGGCGACTGCTTTTCTAACATGAGTTTTCCAACTTTCTTTGTTTATAAATCAGATTCATACAAATATCGTGGAAATTCTGTAGTCACTCCTTTCTGAGGATGAAGCTGGCTGGTTTCTGGGAAGGAAGACGATTCTATGGCAGGGGAACACCATCTTGATGAGTTGTTTTCCACACACATGGATTTACGCAGTTTCGTCCATGTCAGCACACTCACGTGCAAGACAGTTGTGGGAGTAGGAATAACAAGGATAATTTAGCCCTTGTGAAGATAAAATTCTGTCATCTTTGCTAAAATGTTTTGTGGTCAAGACTGAAGATCCGTAAACTTCAGTTATACTTATTAAAACAAAAAAGACTGATTTTAAAAAAGATTACCTTGCCACTTAGAAAAAAAATTTTGCATTACTCTTTAAAAAAAATTTTAAAAAACCAAAAGCAAAAACAAAAAACAACATCATTTGGAACTCTACTGAAATCAGGTCAGTGCTCCTCTGGTAGAAAGAACACCAGCTCTACAAATAAAGGAAACTTAGATGGTAACTATTATCAACTTTTCTTAGGTGTCTTTAACATTGCTACAGAAATAGATAGATGAAAGCAAAACAGTCCTAGCCTTCCTAAAGTTTGGGATTCTTTTCATTACTACTGAAATTACCTTCTACCTAGCATCTAGATCTTTGTATAAGTAGCTCAGCTCTCACACTGCACCTTCCCCACAGACTTCTGCTTTATTCATCTGACCAACTGGCAGAGCTTTCCTTCTGTTTCAGTGTTTCTGTCCTCTCTGAACACTGCCCCCTTAATTAGATTCTAACCTTTGATGGGAGACAAGGCTAGAGCATCACTTACAATTTTGAGACTGAAAATGGCAGTCATATATTTTAAATAAACTTTCTCGTTCAAACAGCATAATCAACATGCACTAAGCACTTTCCCCATGACTCAACAGAAGCTAAAACTTATAATCATTTACTCAAAAAAATGTTAGATTTCTACAAAAAGTCTTTGCTACAACGGAGATTCTCTCTGGCTATGTTCTTCCCAACTGTTTAAATAATAATCTGAAATAAACTACTAAAAGCATATATATATCAGGACATCTAATTTTGTACAACCCTCACCTGGTTTATATTCAGCTACTACAAGAAGATTAAATTAGCTGCAGATGTCAGTTAGCGTTCCCTCCTAAGATGTGGAAGTAGCCCGCCCGATTTGGGGATTAGTATATGAGCACTGAACTTGCTTCAACTTAAAGTCCAAACCAGATACCCTTCTCCTCACTGGTGATGTTTTGATTTGATTCAGTTGCTGAACTCTGTGTGACTACAGACCATCACCTTTAACTGTAAATAAGTTATCTACACTGGCCAGTTACGTTCATCAGTATTACTATTTAGAACTGTTCCCATTCAAAATGCCGCAGGTCAAAAAAACACAGTGAAAATGTCGCCTGTGATTATCTCTGGGGAAAAGTACTACATGAAAAAGTTTCTGATTTGAGCTCTATTTACTTTGACTTTATAAACAAGATTTATTTGTAGAATTGGAAGTGTCTACTGGAAAATGTTTATGGCCAATGTAGGGAACCTCAAGTGAAGAGTCGAGGTCTCTCAGACCTACATATCCCAGAACTGCAAGAAAAAGGAGTCCATAAGGGCATCAGGTATCTATGGACGAATGTCAAGGCTTTGGAAACCGAGGGCAAGGTGACGACTGTTAGTCTCTAACTCCCACCTCCCCTAGTCAAGTCTCCACCCTCCCAGATCCCCAAGCGTGATTTTGCACAACAAGTTAAATAAAAGTAAACTGTTTATTAAAAGACACAGCAAAGATACAGATACAGAGATACATACAAAGATACAGATATATATATATTTACATATATATACAGTTTTGCTGTTCTCATGTGCACTGTACTTAGCAGCACATTACTTAATCAGGCGGCATTTTAATGGGGTTGTTTTGACATTTGGCATTGTTACTGCGTCCTTTTGACAAGATACAACTATTGCCTTGAGAGATTTCAATGTGTAAATTTCACTCCTCCAACTTTCAATAGTAGCAAAGAGGGGAAAGAGTAGGGAATGGAGAACCAAGGCTGAACACTAGGTTAAACACAAGAATTCAAAAGGGCTAAGGTAGCACAAGGAAGGGAAAATTATTGAAATCAAAGGCTATCTGAAAACCCAGAGAAATATTAAGAAACCATCACTTAAGGGCAATGGGCTATGTGCCCACGATGTTCACATCAACCTGCAATGACTTTTTCAATCCAGTTCTTGTGTTGAACCTGAGGATCTGCCTTCTCTCCCCTGAATCCCTCCACCCAACATACTTGCTACCACCAAAATCTAGAGCTATAGAGCCTAGAAGCAAAACGGGAAGCTAAATAGTTGTACCTTGGGCTCCCTTCCCACAAGTGCATGGAGGGCCCAATGTTGGGTAGGGATGTGATAACACTTTTCTCTGCAATTCGATGCTTTTCACTTTGTGGCTTCGTTCCACAAAGTGAATTGCATCGAGTTACTGTCAAATGAGAAGCTGCGGGTTGTTTCATCTGTCGTTTAACCCGGCCCTGCCGTTTAACCCGGCCCTAAGAAGAGTGAAACAGAATCCAAATCAGATATAAAATAACAATAAAATGGGAGATTCAGACATAAAAACAAACACACATATTCCTACTACTTACCTCTGAGGGCAAGCTGCTGCTGAAAACATTATCGTCATCCTTGTTTTCTTCACCGTTTTTCTCTACAGGAACCCATTCTCCATAAACACTATCAGCTTCTTTTTTCCGATGCTGAGATCCAGATGACACAGGAAATTCCTTTGTTAATGTTACTTGGCTTTTTGGTGGAGTTGGTTTTGCTGCAGCAATCTAAAATACAGTATTTAATTAGAATGCATTATAACAGATACCATAAATGATTTCAAAAAATCTCAATAAAATCTAAAGGAAACGTTTACTTTTATTTATTTATTTTTTTGCAGTGCCAGGAATTGTACTTAAATCTCACACGTCCTAGGCCCCACACTACCAGAGTCCTACTTTGAGAAGAGCCTTTATCACTATTCATCACAGCATGTACACACTCAGTAGACTAAACCCACAACGATGTCATCAGTCTGCAACCACTTGACTAATACTCACATTCAGATTGAAAAAGATAGGCTTGGGTTCACTGAGTTTAAAGGGATGGTGATAAAAAGGAGGTTCTTCTTCCTCTTCATCCGAAACATGAGGTTTATTCACTATTACATCATCATCTTCTTTACTTTGTGCAATCTGTTTGCATTTCTTTAAAGTAAAAACAAACAAAAGATGAATATTGTTTATACAAAATAACATGTAACTTTTTAAAAAGAATCACATAAGATCAATTTCAAGCAATCAACATTTATGATAGCTTAAAGAACCATAATTTAGCTTACTAGATATATTATTTAAACACACACTGGCTGCTCAGTCAACAACATTTATTGAGCACCTACTATGTGCAGAGCACTGAACTGGGCACTGTCTTAAGAAAAATACAAAAAAAAAAAAAAAAAAAAAGGAAAAGAGGAAAGAGAAAAGAAAAAAGAGAAAGAAATAAGTAAAGACATGGTCCCTGCTCCAAAGGAGCTTACAATCTAATACAAGACAAGAGTACATATACAAGAAGTAATTGAAGAACCTTTTTACAGAGCAACACAATAACAAGTGCAAACTGATATAATACAAACAGGGTACATAAGTGCTAAGAGAACAAAGGCTTAAGAGAGAATATTCAGGCAGGGTTTGGGAATCAAAGAATATTTCTTCAAGAATTCTAAGCGCAATTTCCATAGTAAAGAAGAATTGGGAAGGAAAGGAAAGTCATCTTGGTCAGGTGGTGGTGAACAAGTCAGGAGAGACTTGTCAGACGGGGCAAGAGCGCTGACGCTGAAGATGAGACCAACAACAGCAGAACGCTAAGTGTTCAGAGACTTTTAGATTAAAAAGCTTGCATTTGGAAGTAAGCAAGAGGCTTTTTGCTAGGTCTTTCTTTTCTAAGTTATAATTCAAACTATAATGGATCTAAGCAAGGAAACATGAACTTTATAATTCCCAAATGTATGGTAAAAGATTTTAAACATTTGTGGCAGGGTAAATAGTAACATGTCTCTCCATAAATGTTTTTGTAAAATTTATTTAAGGACTGTAACTTAAGAATGGAAAATAAGGCATGATGGAGAGGGTGCAATTGATGCAGTCCAACATATAAAGTCAATTCCTTCCTCAGAAGCAAAAGGAATATATTCCGTTTATAAAAAGGTTAAGAGTAAATTTTAGTAGACCTGTCTATACAAGCAGAACTTGTCACATCTATTATCAATTGAAAATATTACAATAGAATTAAAAAGCTCAATTAGCCAAAAACACAAGAGTGTATCAAGCATGTAACCAATGAGAACAGAGTATGTTGACAGTGGCAGGCTGGCATAAGGCTAGCCAATAACAGGTTTCAGTATATGAAACAGTGTGTTATTCCTGGATCCTAGCAGCAATATTTCAGCGTCTTCCCCCCCACACACACACACAAAAAAATATTAAAGTAAAACAAAGCTTCCCCAAAAAGCCTTAATTTTAAAAGATCAATTTTTTAAAAACAAAAATAAGTATATTTAAAATATGTTACTGCCAAAACCCGAACCGCAGGAAGAACTGATAATGGCCGGCCATTATCGCCAATGGCTGGTACCAAACAGCCAAAACCCGAAATGTTGATGCGAAAGAAGTTCCTTTCAGGCAATGGCCAGCTATTCTCATTAATTTCCAAGCTCCGGTGGCAAAAGATCATTTCTGAAGATTGTCTGTGTCTTTGCGTATATGCAGTACACTCTTGGCGATCAGTGAACACGTCGTGAATGGAAACGAAACTGTAGGCGAGCTTCTGCGTGTTGCTCACTCAACACCTCCTCCATTCAAACGAACCGTTCCACTCCTCAGTCAGTTTGGCTTCTAAAACTGGAAAGCAAAAGTAATGGGAAGTAACTTTTTAGCTAGCGGAGCTTAGCCATCCCGGATAATGGCCTGCTAAACAGAGCTTCTGCCGCTGCCACATCTGTATTTCGGGTTTTGGGCACTCGGTGCCAGCCATTATCAGTTCAGCCCACAATTCAGGTTTTGGCACGCTCCAGAAATCAACATCCATGGAATAATCCATTTAAGAATGGAAACAAAGTCTGTCTAGCTTACCTCCGTTAGTTCTTCTATGGTAGCTCCTCCAGACTTTTTAGCAACTTTCTCTTCTATTGTAGGTGGAGGGGCAGGCTTTAGGTTTGGTGGTAAAGGAACACCAGCCTTAGCACACATGGCAGCTGCATTAGCTTTGGCTATTTCAAGTAACTGAGCCTTATCTGTAAGAAAAAAATACAAGAAGCAGTTTTCCTAAACACTGTATGTTTTTGTTCTGTCTAAAGTTATCATAGACAATAAAATTAAAGGCATCAGTATTGTGCCCTAAGTTAGGGCCATAATCAAGGTGAATGGACCCTTGTCAACAATTAACACAATTCTTTGTTTCCAATGCAAATACTACACACAATAGCTTACTATGACTCTGTGATCACCTAGCCATAAATTATAAAAGGCAACATTATTTCCTAGAATTAACATGATCATAAACCATTTTTGTTTTTGTGCTAGGGATGCCGCTTAGTTAAAACGCTTACTGAGCATGTACAGACCCTGTGGTTCAAAGCCCAGTATTACATAAAACTGGTCACAGAAAACTGCAATCAAAAACAAGCACTGGGGAAGTGGAGGCAGTGGTACCAGATGTTCAGGTCAATCTCAACTACATAGTGGGCTACAAGTTAGTCTCTGTCTCTCTCTCAGACAAATCTCATTCTAATCTAACAGTAACTTAGTCTCTTATTAAGTTCCAAGTTCATCTCTTTCAAGAAGCCTTCAACTGAGCAAGAATGAACATTCCTCTCCACTGTGCAAAATGTGCCCCTGCACCATTACTAGGGCAATTACACCTTCTACTCTTTTAAGTTTTGTCCCTTGGTAAAAGTAGTATATTCTAGCAACTTCCTTTAGTAACTTATAATCATTGAGAATTACCTACCGTTCCTCAGTTCTTAGAAAATGAAGTATCAGAAAACTTTTAGTAAACGGAACATCAATTCTGCTGTCTTGTCTTTTCTTTAGACTGCCCTAACCAAAAAATTACCCACCAGGTAAGCATACTTCAGGTTTTAATAAGAAAGAGGTTTTGTTTTTTTGTTTTTGTTTTCTGGTTTTTTGAGACAGGATTTCTCTGTGTAGCCCTGGCTGTCTTGGAACTCACTCTGTAGACCAGGCTGGCCTTGAACTCAGATATCCACTTGCCTCTGCCTCCCAAGTGCAGGGTTTAAAGGTATGTGCCACCTCTACACAGCTAGAAAACATTTATTTTTAAAGACAACAGAATATAATTAGTGATAATCACTTCATTAAATAAACTGCATCATTCATCCAGCTCACTCTCAGACAAAATTTCCTAAATTCAATAACCTGTCACAGTACACAGAATAATCTTTCCATTTAACAATCCTAGGTTGCCATTTTAAGATATGATAGCTAAAGTCTGGCATGGTGGCTCAGCCTGTAATCCCAGTCAACAGGAGCTTGAGGAGAACACAGCCACTTTGGGCTGGCTACATAGTAAATTCCATGCCAACATGCACTACAGACAAAGACCCTGTCTCAAAAAAAAAAAAAGGAAAAAAGAAAAAAAAGAACAAATGAAAAGTTTCAAATTCTGCTTATTTGCAAAGCCATGTGCTGAAATATATCCAGCACACAACAATCAACCTGAGTTATAACAAGGCTTCTCAAGCTACTACTCTTTCAATTAAGGTGAAATAACAAGTCCAGGTACATTACAGCTCTGCACACTGCCCACAGCAGGTCTTTTTACCTTTCAACTTCCCCTTCATTCTCTAAACACAACTGAGTGATTATCTAAACCAACACGCCCAAAATACCCTTTTTGACTCAAGATTATAAATCAAGCTTAACTCATATCTATTACTCATATATATAATATATGACTTACCCAAATCTGTTAGACGTTTGGGTGATCTGCCTCTTTCAGAAGACCTGGATCTTTTACGACGAAGGGGAGATCTACTAAACCTTCTTCTCAAAGGTGTTCTTGATCGCCTCAATCTGACTGGTGATATACTGAAGCTTCGTCTTCTTACCACAGACCTTGATCTTCTCCTGCGGCTGGGGGTGCGGCTTCTTCGGCTAGGGGTACGACTCCTGCGGCTGGGGGTGCGGCTCCTGCGGCTGGGGGTGCGGCTCCTTCGGCTGGGGGTTCGGCTCCTGCGGCTGGGAGTGCGGCTTCTTCTTGGGGAAATGCTGAAACTCCTCCTTCTACCAACAGATCTAGACCTTCTCCGACGACTAGGAGTGTGACTCCGACTGCGACGACTTGGAGTTCGACTCCGAGCCCGAACTGTTTTGCGGTTGTCCCGGGAACTTGATCTTTTCCTTTTCCTTTCCCTGGACTTGGACCTGTGCTTTGGAGATCTTTTGCGTTTCTCTTTTGATACAGACCGTCTTCCTCTAGACTTAGATCTTGATCTGCTACTCCTCCTCCTGCGTCTTGAACGCGATCGTGAACGTGTTTGAGAACGATGAGACTTGGACTTAGATGACCTCTTCCTTGCTCTAGAACGAGACTCACTGGTACGCTTGCGTGACTTATGTTCAGATGACTTGGAGCGCTTACTCCGAGACCTTAATGAAGAGTCCCTTTTCTTTTCTTTTTCACCTTTGTCACGATTCTTATTTTTCTTGCTTTTTTCATGTGTGTCCTTAACTTTGACAAAAATTTCATAGTCATCCTTCTCCTCTGA